ATCTTTCTTCTATCATTGACAGTCCCTCTAGGTTGTGGGCTGCTTGCCTGTGTTCCTGAGAAGCATCTACGGTACCAGTCTATAGAGTGTGTTTTCTTTAGTGAATTACCGGTATGTTTACCGGTAATAAACTTGCACTGTTTTATGTATATGTTTGATTACATACAGCCTTGTGACAGTTTTCCTGCATGTCATAAGCATTTGAATATAAATTAAAATGTTAAAATCAAATCTGATATTGTTTTACCTTTTATTTGGTGTGTGGAAGGTGTGCGGAAGAGGGGGTAGTCTTATACGGCGAGTATATAACAAACTCTGTATTTTGAGTGGAAATGTTAGGGGGTCGTCTTATACGCCCAGTCGTCTTATACGCCGGCAAATACGGTATATGGAAACTATAAACTTTCTTTGCAAGTTTTCTATAAATCTAAATAGTTTATTTTTTTAATGGGCAAAAATATTTGTATTATTAAAAAAATAAAAATATTTAAACCTACACTTCTTAAGAGACATGAGTGGCCAATAAAGATATAAAATATGCTAATTATAGCAATCCTATATAATAAAAGGCTAATATGCAAATCAACCGAACAGCAGAATGACCAGTCACTATGACACGCACTGACCACCAGGGGGCAGACACTCGATGCAGGAGCTGCCCCTTGGTGGTCAATGTGCTCCCACCGGGGAAGCACCACTCAGCCAGAAGCCGGGCTCACGGCTAGCGAGCACAACAGTGGTGGCGGGAGCCTCTGCCACCTCCAGAGCAGTACTAAGGATGTCCGACTGATGGCTTAGGCCCACTCCCCACTGGAGTCAGTCAGACATCCCCCAAGGGCTCCCAGACTGCAAGAGAGTGCAGGCCAGGCTGAGGGACCCTGCCCCCTCCGGTGCACAAATTTCGTGCACTGGGCCTCTAGTATAATTATAAACAAAACTAAAAAAACTACACACCTATTTGAAATTAAAATAATTTTTTGAGCTCTTAAATGAAATGGGCAAATCCTTAAAAGACATAAACTACCAAAGATCACTCAAGAAATAAATAATGCCCTGGTGGGTATGCTCAGTAGTTAGGAGCATCAACTGGAGTACCAAAGAGTCATGGGTTCAGTTCCCTGATCAGGGCGGGTACAGGAGACAACCAATGGATGTGTGCCTGTCACATCAATGTTTCTCTCTGTCTCTCCTCCCCCTCTCCCTCTCCCTCTCCCTCACTCTCTCCCTCTATAAAACAATGGGAAAAAAATATTCTGGGGTAAAGATCAACAAAAAAATAAGTAAATAACTTCAATAACCCTACAAGTATTAAAGAACTGAATTCCTACTTCAAAACCCATGAAGTAAACTCCAGACCCATATGGCTCCATTGGTAAATTCCATCAAACATTTAATAATTATTCCAATTCTATACATATTCTTCCAGAAAACAGAAGAGGAAATCCTTCCCAACTACTAGATGTGGCCAAGATTATTCTGACAACAAAAGCAGACAAAAAGATTACAAGAAAAGAAAACCACAGACCAATATTCTTCATGAATACACTAGATGCAAAAATCCTTTAAATTTTTTTAGCAAATTAAATCTAGTCATACCCAGAAAAACAATAATTCATCATTAACAAGAGGGGCTTTCCCAGGAATGTGAACTTGAATTAACATTCAAAGATCAAAGATAAAACAACAGATACAGGAAAGCCATATGACAAAATCCAAAACATACAAGCAAAAATTCCAGATGACAACCGCAGAAATTTCATGAGAAACATAATTAAATGCCAAAAAATTATGTTGGATATTGATATAATATGAGAAGATGCCAAATCTTTGAAAGTCATCAAGTATAAACCCAATTTCTTATAACACAGTTGATCTTGGAAATAGTCTGATTTTTTCAGCATCATATATGTCTTCTGACTCTATTTTTACTTATGCTAAAATTAAAATTAATTCTTGTACACTGAAAATGTTTGGAATGGAGTATGGTTACATTGGGCCAATATGGAAAGGGAACAAAAAAAAGAGATAATACTAAAAGTTTCTAATTTGCTACAGGTAAAGCTTAAAGTAGATCATTAACGAGTACATGGAATTATTCCCTGCCAAGGAGACAAACCAAAATTTCTGTCTTTACTTGTCAAATGATATGGGAAAGTTGCTTCCTTTCTTCGGGTCTCATTTTTCCTATCCTTTTATAAGAGGAGGCTACCCTAGATTCGTTCTTAAATTCAACAAATATTTATTGAGAAGCTATTATGTATCAAACACGTCCCTAGACATTGGGGAATATGGGGGTGGAGGGGCAGAAAAAACTCGCTCCCCTCACAGAGTTTACAGCCGAACAAAATACATATGTAAGATATATAGCATGTTTAAGGATAATAAATACTATGGAGACAAAGCAAGGAAGGGGGAAGAATGTACTGAGGGGAGTGTGGTTAGGGGACTAGATGATTTCTAGGTTCACTTTCAGTTCAAAAAAATCCAATGATTTCCTTCTAGGTTGATTAGGCAGTGTAAAAACACACTGTGAACCTCTGAACCTGACCTCTTTAAACTCGTATATTCTATCACCTTGCTCTGTATATCACCACTTACATTTAGAAAAATAGGATTAAACATACATTTTCCTTACTGAGACAAAGCATATGCAGTTATTTAATAAAATAAGTAATTTCCCATTCTTGACTTGGAAGAGGAAAAATAAGAAAAATAAAACCTATCAATTTCTCCCCAAAGATTCTAAAAATGTGGCATTTTGTACGATATAGAAAGGATTAAAATTAGCTGTTTTTCCTCCTCCTCCAATATACTTGTGGCCTGGAATCTGGTCCTTTACTGAACAAGAGGTGGTTTAACAGCCCCTCCAAAATAAAAGATTTTCCATAGGCAAGAAAATAAGTAAAGTATTATTACTATAGTTATTGCAGCTACCATGTTTTGTATGTCTGCTATGTGCCAGGTACAGCACTAGACATTTTATATATTAGGCTGAACTACATGAAACTCACATTTATAGATCAAAGTCAGCAAATTTATATAGTTTAAATAAGTTTTCATCCATTAATTTCAGATTCCATGAGAGAGAAGTCTGTGTAAGTTAACTGCATTGCTGCATTTAATAGATTTTATAGCTCATCTATTAAATTATTATCTTGGACAAAACTTCAAGGTAACATGAAATTTCTGTTTGGGTATGATATAAAGCCTTCTGCCAAGTTGATAGTGTGCAACCAAGTAACTTACAAAATTTTAGTTAGGACTTCATTTAGGATTTAGATGTTTTTTAAGCATCATAATTCATAGAACTAATTTCATCAAAAGCTATCCATAGCCATGTAGGTTCATTTTGAAAAAAAGCTCAATTTATTAATTATAACCACTATTCCACTTACAAAGACAGAATCTTCACTCCAAAAGTATTATTTTTGTTCTCCACTACAAAGACCAATAATTATACAATATCTTAAATCTGTCTATTTGGAATGAAATTTCTATTTTCTTGGAAATGCCTAATTAAAAGAATCTTTCCCAAAAGAGAACACTGTCTATAAACCTGCTTATTAAGGTCAAACCAAATAATTTTAAATTCATCTTTTAAAGCAGGTCTAAAGTTTTCTGTTTTACTTCTGGCAGCTATTTTTCATTCACTATACAGTTCATGTCTAGAGTTCACATTTATAAGACATTAATAAAGTAGCTTTTAATATCTTCTAAGTATTTCTATGTAATCTAAAGTTTCATCTAGCAAAAAAAGGCAGGCACTTTGTATGTTACATTATTAGCAGATGTGAAAGTTTATTGCCAACATTTAAATGCCAATAGAAGTCTCAGTGAAACATTAAGACAAAAAAGAAAGAAAGAAAAACTACCTAAAGTTGTTGTTTGTTTTTTTTTGGGGGGGGGGTGGAGAAGGAAATTACTATAAGAATATGATGATTATATGTAGAAATCAAGAACATTAAACAGGTAAATATATTTTAAAAACATACCAGGTCATTGCTTGTAGATGTGAGTCTTAGTTTTTCTTCAATTTCTTTTCCAATTTTCTGAACAGTTACCTGAGTCTGTTTAATTGCACACTGGGCTCTATGAAGCCTAGAAATAAAAGTTGTAGAAAATTTTAAGTGAGTTAACTATAAACTCTCAACACTGAACCACAGATATACAGTAAATGGATGAAATGGGGACAATTCCTCCAAGATAGACAGAATTAATAATAAACCCAAACTGACTATTTCACAATTTTCTAGCGTATTTACAATGAAACACAATATGCTTTAAAATCAGCCTTTCTATCCCTGCCAGACTGCCTCTGACACGTTGAGAGCTAAAATAAAGAACTCACAGGAGTCTGGAAGAGACGTTGGAAAATTATCTGGTCAAATCCTACCATTTTACAGATGTAGAACTGAGGCCTAAGAGAAGTTAAGTGGATTGCTAAAGTCACCGGGAGAACATCACTGCTATCAAGGGTGAATATTACTTATGGGTATCCATAAAAAAATTAATGACCTCAGTTAAAGAAGACTGATTTAAAGTAGCAGCCACACTGAAACAAGCAACATTAAAAAATACCGAGCTATTTTCTTTTTTGGCTTAATCATAGGTTTGGGTTTTTCTTGGTCTCTGTCTTCCAATAGTGTGTGAGTGTGTGTTTGTGTATTACTTATACATTTGCATATTAAAAATGGTCAAATTGTCTTCATTTATAGATGACGTTTTCATGTAGAAAATCATTAGAAATCTATAAGGCAACTTCTAGAACTAAAAGTCAGAGGATAGAAGGTAAATATACAAAGTTCCAGTTATATTTCTACATATGGGTCAATAGTTTTGCAATCACAATCAAAATCCCAAAAGGCTCTGGGTTTTTTTGGATGGAAATAAAGAAGCTGATAGCCCAGCTGGCGAGGCTCAGTGGTTGAGCATCAACCTATGAACCAGCAGGTCACAGTCTGATTCTGGATCAGGGTACATGCCTCATTTTCAGGCTCGACCCTCAATGGGAGCATGCATAAGGTGGCCAATCAACAATTCTCTCTCATCGTTGATGTTTCTATCTCTCTCTCCCTCTCTCTTCCTCTCTGAAATCAATAAAAATATTTTTTTAAAGAAGCTGATAGAATAATTTACACAGAAAAACAAAGAATCTAGAAAAGATAAAACAAACTTGAAACCTGCCAGACTTCAAGGCTTTCTTTTTTATAAAGCTATATAATCAAAACAATATGGTACTGGCATAAAGATAAAAAAATAGATCAATGGAACAGAGTAAAAAGCATACAAATAGACCTACACATATATGGCCAATTGATTTTGGACAAAGGAACCCATACAAATGAGTGGAGAAAGTAAAGTTTTTTTAAATAAATTATGCTGGAACACCAGATAAACACAGGGGGAAAATGAATTTCATTCCCTACCTCACAGCACTCACAAATAATTCAAGAAGATCCCAGTAAATATAAAAGCTAAAATCATAAAACTTCTAGAAGAATACATAGGAAGATCTCTTACAACTTTGGGGTAGGCAAATATTTCTTAGAGAAGACACAAAAAGCACTAACCATAAAATTTTTAATGGATAAACTGGACTTTACCAAAATAAAATAAAAAATGTCTATTCATCTAAAGATGACATTAAGAAAATGTAAAAGTAGTCCACAGACTGGGAGAAAATATTTGCAAAACATCTATCTGACAAAAAGTTGTGTCTGTAGTATTTAAATAACTCTTACACACCAGTAACAAAAAACACAACACAATTAAAAATGGCAAAAAAACAAAATGCTTTACAAAAGAAGACATAAGAATGGCCAATAAGCACAGGAAAATGTGCTCAACATCTTCGTCATCATGGAAATGCAAATTAAAATCATAATGAAATACCATTTCACACCTGTTAGAATAGCTAAAATTAAAATGACATCTAATGGGAGCAAAGATATGAAGCAATTGGAACTTGTATGCAGTACTATCATTTGAAAAACTACTCATTATAAAATTAAACATACTTCTAAACTATGACCCATAATTTCTACTCTTACATATTTACTCAAGAAATATAAAAACATGCCCACAAGAAGGTTTATATAAGACTGTTCATAGAAAACAACCCAAGTGTCCATCAAACAGAAGAATTAATAATACCCATACAGTGAAATTCCATTCAGCAATAAAAGAACACACCACTGATACAATATAAATGAATCGCAAACACATCATGTTGAGTGAAAAAAAAACACAGAAATATACTGTATGATTCCATTTATACACAGTTCAAGAACAGGTAAAAGTAATGTATGGTGACAGCAATCAAGAGTTCCTAGTTGCCTGTGTGGGGTGGACCTATTGGTAGAGAGCAGGGAGAACAAAAGAACTGAGGTGAGGAAAATGTTCTGTATCTTCATTGAGGTACATGGGTATACAAGGAATTTAAACTTAAGATTTACTCATATCACTGTATGTAAAGTTTACCTCAGTTTTTAAAAATTAGTCAACAATCCTAACCTAAGTGTTATCCTATATATGATATTAATTTATTAGGAATTTGATGGCACCAATACCTCTGCCAACATTATTATTATTATTTATTATTATTATTATTATTATTATTATTTATTATTATGCCAAGTACTAAAAATATTCATGGCATATTCTGCACTTTTGGAAGTTGCCTGACAGTTCTTAAGGATTTCTTAGGTCATCTGAAAGGGAGCAACTCTTATTATAGCTAGTTTGCTCAAGAGATGAGTTTTTTTTGCAATGTCCTCAGAGCTCCTAAGGAATCCAACAGAATCCATCCTATTGCCTCTTGCTCTGGGTGTATGTGTACACTCTTGATTGTAACAGTCCCTTACAAAGGTGGCTCTGAAGAAATTTAAAAGCAAGAAAATGCTCTTTGTGATGTGCTCCCAGCATACTTCCGCC